TTTGTTACTTAGATAGGCCTGACATTGCATTCCTCTTATATTATTCTTTCTTTCTCTCTCAAAATTGCAGACATGTGGTGGTCACTGCATGGATGTCAATGCCCTGAACTACAAAGACTTGCAGTTAAAATCCTAAGCCAGAATTGTTATGGTCCGTCGAGGTACATGCTAAGGAAGGCTATATCTGAGCAGCTACATGCCGAGGCAAGGAATCTCATGGAACAACAGCAGTTTCGTGATCTGGAGTTCGTCCATTATAATCGTCATCTGTGGCATTCACCGTCCAGCTTGAAGCAAGAGGTCGAGTTTGTACAAGAAGACCTGAAGCCCTCGGAAGAATGGATTGTAGATAACAACTGATGGCTTCAATCAACTCCTTTAAGACTTGTAGTGCTCATAGCGCTGGTAGTCAGCAACAGTTTCCCTCAACCCCTTGTCATTTCATGCCTTTAAATGTGTCCATAGTTTACCATCTCAGATCTTGCATGTACATCTGGTTGCCAGATTACTTGGTAGGTTAGTTAGTTATATACATTTCAGAGTGCAACCATATTGCTTATAGTCTTTCTGGTTAGGTATTACAACTATTAACAACAGATGATTTCCAGACTATTGTCCTTGTCAATTTGCTTTCTTTTTCTTTTGAGGGTGATGGAGGCTTTTCTTAAAGGGGATTTGCTTGGTTTTTCTCATATATAATGGTCAGACCCATCATGATAATGAGAAATTATGGATAGCCAGTGCAAACAATTTTTCTCCTATGAGTAGAAGGATGATATCTGTTTACCAATATGAAATTTGACTTATCCCTATAAACAACTGAAGTCTCAATACATTCATTGCGCATTTAAGGCATGGAAATGGAATTCATGGCAATTGGTTGGCAATCTCACAATATTATACAAAGCTCTAAGACTGTTCTATATTGAATACATATATTATAATATATATATATATATCGCCTCCAGCTTGATTAGCAGCCATGAGCGGCGTTCTAACAAGCAGGAGCAAAGAGAAAGTCATCGCCGAACAGGTAGACGAGACGCTCCACGGCCCAGCTAGGTTCCGAGGCCGCCGAGGCGCTGGCCGACGGCAGACACGCCGGCTCACTCAGCAGCGGCGCACGGCACAGCGGGCACGTCAGGTGCTTATCGTGGTCGAGCCATCGGTCGAGGCACGCCTTGTGGAAGACATGCGCGCAGTTCCTGAGCTCCCAAACGCGGTCCCGTGTCCGCATCTCGCTCAGGCACACCGCGCACGTCGTGACCCCCTCCGCCGCCGCCCCGGTGAGCGCGCCGTAGGATGAGACGTGAAGGCTGTCTCTCACGGCCTGTGCTGCCACGCAGTGACGATCACTGGCCTCTGCTCCTGCAACTTCACTGGCAGAAGGTGAGGAAGCTGGCCACCAGCAGCAGCAAGGCAGGAACAGCCACCGGACTACGAGGGACAACAGAACGGCACACTCTGAGAAGAGGCGAGGCACGAGGAGACTCAAACAATAGCACTCCATTGAGATGCTCATCTCTCTTACTGCGTTATGTCGATGCACAGAGGAGAGGGAAAGGGGGGGGGGGAGAGTGAAGGAGGCCACAAGGGCACATTTAAAGGTGAGGTAGATGATGATGGTGGGATGTGAAAAGAGATCAGTGAGGGATGCTTTCTCTCCTTTACTTTCCTTGGTGTCTTCCATCTTTTAGGAATAGAGATAAAGGCAAGACATGCCACTTTTCTTAGCTTTTAAGAACACATAGAATCTCTCTACTACAAGCAGACTGCATTAAGCATGATGAAAGAAAGATCCTCTTTACTGGGCATCAATGGTGCACACTTGCATTTCTGTTCTTGTCCAAATGGAGTGAATCAAACCACAATGCTAGAAGTGTCGGAAGTGGATCTGAAGCTTTACACCTCATCTGCTAAACTGGAAAGTGCGAACTATAGATTCAGAGGGCCAGACAAAATCCAGTTCTTCCCATGTGGATTTCCTCGTGGCGGCAACACAATAGCGTAGGCAAAGCAAGCATGAAAGAAGAGATCAAACAGTTGAAAGGGGCAAGGAGATCTTATCAGCTGTATCTTGTCACGTAGGTAATCTCTATCAAAATCTAGAGATGCATAAGAGGAAGAATCAAATCTTAATGAAGATTTCTTCTCATACTATGATTTTTTATTTTCCTTCTTATCACATTGCCTAAAATAATGTGCAAGTGCTACAGACGGTGGTTTCTTATCTGAGAACCTAAAACCACAGTCACCATCACTGTCTTCGATCAATAACAAGAACCCTACTTCTTATAGTCTTATGTTACACAAGATAGAACCATTGTCATCTCATCTCTGTAACGGAAGAATTGGGCGGCTTAGGAATTGTCATTTGTTATGTCATGTTGATATTGTGCTTGGCACCTTCTTAATATAGACTCCAAAATCGTCTCCTTTCCATTCCTTCCGCGTGTGGAAGGAAGAGAGGTCGCAGCCAAAAATAGATACCGTGAAATAATAGGAGCGGTGGACATTGCACCTCGGGCGACCAGTGGTCGGAGATGGCACTCTAACAGAGCCTTAAATCCATCGAGTAGCAACCGCTGTTCATGAAAAAAGGGAGTCCCCCGCTCCTTGTGTACTCTTCTGCGGCCGTCGTCCACCGGCGGCCTCAGATGTGGGTTACGGTACGCCTCGAGACAGGTTGAGGATCAAAGCAGGTGCGCAGAGCAGCGGACCAGATGAAGAATAACACTGTGGTGCATCAGCTGCTGCAAGTGTCATCGTCGTCGTCGTCGGAGGGTGAGACGGAGGAAGGGGCGGTGGCCAGGATCGAAGAGCCCCCGCAGAACTGGAACGTCGCAGGAGGGGTCAGAACTGGCCTCAGTATCAACAAGAGGAGGCTGCTGTCTAAGCAGCTGTCGATGCGGGAGACGAGAATGGAAGCCAAGTGGGAGAAGAGGAGGAGTCAGATACAGCAAAAGAGGTGCGTAATCGAGAGAGGAGTCGTCGGAGAAGGAGGAGGAGGAGACGAGGCGGCGGCGGCGGTGGCGGCCGAGAGCAGTGAAAGGAGATTGAATGGAAAGACAAGGGGCTTGACCGACGAGGATCTCGACGAGTTGAGGGGATCTATAGATCTCGGATTCGGCTTCAACGAAGAGGAAGGTGGTCAAGACCTCTGCGACACTCTCCCCGCCCTCAACCTCTACTTCGCCGTCAACCGCCAGCTCTCCGACCCCAAGATCCAGTTATCACCGAGCCCGGCCTCCACCCCGACGGCCACCTCCTCCTCATCCACTCTGTGTGGTCTCCCAAGCCCGCGGAGCCCGAACGAGCAGTCGGATTCTTGGAAGATCTGCAATCCAGGTGCTGTAATCCCTATCCTCCTTATCATTGTATGCTTAGTTGGAGCATTACCAACTCGTCCTCCGGTGTGTCAGCACAGAACTTACCACTGATGGATCTTCTTGTTGGCTGGGATGTGATCTTTTCTGTGGCAGGAGACAGTCCGCAGCACGTGAAAACAAGATTGAGGCACTGGGCACAGGCAGTGGCTTGTTCTCTGAGGCAGAGCTGCTGATGGTAAACTACACAAGTTCGACCAGAAAGGAGAAGAAGCAGGGATCCTCTGAGTGAAGAAGCCTCATGTCTTCTGTATATAACTGGTCCTCTTTGTTCTCACGGAACAAAGATTTGGACTACGTAGAGAGATGGAGGAGGGAGGAGGGAGGGAGGGAGGGAGGCAGGTGGTTCATGGGGAGGCTGGGTTTTCTTTTTCTTACTGTAGTAGACACTCCAGCTTATACTGTTCTTCAGCATGAATCATCAGCAGCAGTAGCAGCTGCTGCAAGGTGTACTGTAATTAGCAAACTAATGAGGTTTGATAGTTATTCTCCATCTTGATTTTTGGAAGTTTACCATTGTGATTTGATGCGTTTTTTGCTACTTCCAATCTAGTTGCTCGTCACGTTGTCACAGTGCATGAACTCAAAGTTCATTCTGTACATCAATACTATTGTATATTGTCTTGGTTTTAATTATCATTCAGTTCATTCTTTTCTTGGAGTGACAAATCATCTGTCATTCAACAATATAAACTAAATATTTAATGTTATCAAAGAACTGTCATTCAGACAGAGGAGAGAGAGAGAGAGAGAGAGAGAGAGAGAGAGAGAGAGAGAGAGAGAGAGAGATCAGACAAATAAGGAGTTGGTAAAGAAGGAACTGCAAAGTGCATGGCTGTTCTTAGCCTGAAACCAGCAGCAAAAACTATGAGGCACACAAATGCCCAGCTCGTCCCTTGTGGAACTGGACAAAAGGAGATCGGCAAGAACGAATCGACGAGAAAGACTAACAAAGAAAGAGATGAACGCCGTGAAGCCCATACTGCAACTACGCTCAGCTTTGTTCAGTCATCTTCGTGGATATACCAGCAGAGGAGCATGGTGACACAGCGGCGCGCGATGTAGATCCTCGCCTGCAGCTCCTTGACGAGCGACCCTCTTCCTCCCTTCTCCGACATATGATGAACTGAAGCCTAGGCCTTTGCCTTATGCATGTGAGAGCAACACGCAGGAAGCTGATGCCCCATACATGTAACATTGGCTTACAGTTGAGTTGGCTTCTAAACATGAAGAGCTCGCGCGAGGAATTGAATGGAAGCGTGGACATGGATTTGCTTAGATGAAAGCTTGGCATGGTGGGATAAGGAAGCCTGTAAAGCTTATTATTCGACTCTTGTGCTGCTGCATGTATATTGACTGAGAGCTCTAAACGTGTATTTTGCATGGGAAATATAAATATAATATAATATAATATGAAACAATTTTGCCTCGTCATCACGCACAAGGCTCTTAAGGAAGAGGGCCTAATCAAATTGGGCCTAATTTTGGGCTTAGTTTAATCTATGAACGAACGAGCCGGATTCGAACGGGAAAGCAGGCCGACAACGAGCGGCTCGCGAACGACAAGCCCACGTGACAGCTCTCCTCTTGTTTCCTCTCACCCTCTTCCGTTTCCACTAACTCGTCGTCCGCCTCCTTCCCAGTTCCCGGGACGCTGTCAGCGGACGCGGCAACGCTGTCGCCCCTCGATTCTTCGATCGGCCTCTTCCGCGTGGTCTCCGCCCCCTCGAGCCCCACCGGTGGTAAGAACCCTAGATCGACTTCCAGTTCCTCTTCCGCCAAGTAAGTTCTGGCTGTGTTCTGTGGGGTTACGCCTTGGAATCTTGAAGTCTTGGGGTTTGCTGAACTCGTTCTTATTGACAAAGAGTTAGGTGTTGGATTTATGTGAGTCGACGATGTTTGATTGAGTTATATTTTGCTTGCCAATTGTATGTGCAAATTATAGTATTAGGTTTCAACATCATGAGAATGATCATGCTAGCTTATATGTTGAGTTGTTTGATTGTTAGGTTTTCTTGTGGGTATTAGGTGTATGGGGATACTCCATTTTGGCGCATGTGTTTCTTCCGTTTTCTGCATTATAAATGAAAACACAAGTGTAAATTCTTTTACGGTTAAGTTTCCATCTGGCTATACCAAAAAAATTCTATCCGAGTCCAACACATGCTCCCTAAGAACATTTGGGGTATCTATTTGGTGACAGATTATGAGTCCTAAGGATTCTGGAACTTTGACCTTGTCATGGTTTCCTCTCTTGTTTTTCTCCCCCACAACCGCACTCCAGTATGAATGAAATTCTAGTAATCCTTAAACTATCAAGCTTAGTATGATGGTGATGATCTTGTATGTATTTCGTTTGTACCTTTTCAGGTGGATTTAAAAAACCTCACAAACTAAATTGGGTTACAGGTGTGGTTTTGGCTGTATTGACAGCATAACTGGAGAAATAAAATTTCAGTCCTGACCTTTATGAATTCCATATCACATTAGGATTCATGGTGATTTGACTTTTCTTGCTTGCATATGTGATCCAAATTCCTAAGAGACAAATGAAATACCTACTTTATCACATTGTTGTATTAGAAAACATAGTCTGATCCAAATTATGAACTTTTGAAAGCAACTCTAAAATCAACTTAGTCAATTTACCTTTTACCTCAAATAACGGACAACACCGCCTTATCTATACTACTCCCACTAGGGACTAAAGAATTTTACTCCTGATATTAGGATACAGTATGCTAATTCTCCTCTAATTAGGAGTACCAACTTATTATATGTGGGCTACTACATGATGGGCTAACCATTTTTCTAAAAGTGCTCTTTCTTATATTGTCATTACTTATTTTTGGATAGAGCTCAGATGGAGTTTATGATCATGGGTTGGCTTGATTAACTAGATTACTCCTGAGAAAATGCTTGATGATTGGAGGATAAACCTTTTGGTATCAGTATATAAGAATACTACATATTCAAAGTTCTTTAACTACTAGTGATTGGAGAGTGAACATGGATTCATAACATACAACTAGCCAAAAGAAAAAAATTAAAACACAAGATGAGTACATCTGAAAACCAGTTTGTTTTCCTGCTAAGAATGTCAACAATTGTAACTGTTTATTTTTGAGGCATTAATGTTGATTATTGAGCTGAGATATCAACAACCAAAATTTGTAATTGGACCTTTGATTGAGCTGATATTCATGTTAAGTTTTCTATATCATCTAATAATACAACAAATATTTGAATGTACATTGTGATACATAAGTACGTGTACGCCAATTGGTTCCATGGTGATAGATAGTTCAACTCAAAATTTTGGACAGTATAATCCTAAAAATTTCCTGAAGAAAAATTCTGTTGTGAGGAGTCGCTGCAAAATTGTATTGGTGCATCATTTTTTAAAAAGAAGAAGAAATCAATGAACCTTTCTATCTGTATTTAAATACTTTCCACAGGCCAATGTGAATAAAAAAACTGAAAATTTCTTGGTTGTTATCTACTTCCTTTCATTTTCAGGATATCCAAATTTGTGACTTTATATTTATGTGTCGAATTAAGGATTTTTCAAAAAAAAATTTCTTAGTATCAACCATTGGTCTCATAATAATTTAATTCTTATCAAGTAATGGAAATTCTGTGCAGGTGCATAAACGATGATGGCAATGCATACTTCAGCCTTAACATTTTATACTGAAACTATGTGTATTCCACCATCAAAATACTCTAGATCAAGATTTTTTCATGCGTCTTTTATGCAAAGATGTGTTTTTGGTCATGAAGAAAGGATTTATCCTTGCATTTGTTTCCTCAAGCTAGCTGCACCATCAGCTAATAACCCCAGGTTAGTCACATTGTAACATGAAATGTTTAGTGTGTATGGAAAAGGCTTTATGAATTCTATTATTGACTATATATGCTAGTTTTTACTTGAGGTTTTATTTTAGATCTTATATGTCATTCGTTTTATCTTGGTTCTGCTTACTTAGTAAGGGTTATGTGCTAGTTTAACTAATTAGAAGCATTATGTTGCTCATGCACCTAATGCTTACTTCATAAGTAATAATTTTTTTAGTATATTCTCATAAGATGTGTCCTATTTCTTCTATGTCTTTTATCATGATTTGATTTGCCCTTAATTTAGAAAACCTGCATGGACCCATGGTTCTACACTATCTTTTAAGGTTTTCATATTAAATTTTACTTAATCTTAGAAGCATATAGACATCAAGATTTCATTTCAACTTTTAACATATATTACTACCTCAAATTCCATCATTCCATAGGCAACCTATCAAGTTGATCATATTAACCCATTTCTAAACTTTGAAAGTCTCTACCCTTTGCCCATTTTGCATCCGTATTAGTTATGGTTATAGGACAACAGTAAAACTTATAATTATTTCTTAGATGCTTATATTGTTGCATCCTTCATGTAGTTGTTTTTATAATAAATTATTATAAAAGCCAGGGAAAGAAATTAGGTACTAAAGATGGTGAAAAAGATATATATCAAATTGCTAAGGCCATGGAAAGAAAATATAAGGATTTAGATAATATTGGATGCATTAAAGACAAAGATCAAATAATACTTGTTAATGATAATGAGATTAAGGAAAGATGAAAAAATATTTTTATAAATTATTTAATGAATATTTCATACAGGATTTAGATTTAATGATAAATAATAGTGGTAGATTTAATAATCATATATTTATTCATAAAATTAGAGCTAATGAAGTAAAAGACGTATTAAAGAAGATAAAAATAACTAAGAATGTGGGGCTAATGGTATCCCTATTGAGGTGTGAAAAAGTTTAGGAGACAAGAGAGTTGTTTGGTTAACTAGTTTATTTAACAAGATAATGAGATTCAGAAGGATGTTTGATGAATGAAGAAAGAGTTTTTTAGTGTCAATTTACAAAAACAAGGGTGACATACAAAATTGTTTAAATTATAAAGGAATTAAAATCATGAGCCAGGGTTTTATAAAAGAAAGGTGTATGTATCCACTAATTATATTGATGTTATTAAAGATATGTATGATAATGTAGCTACTAGTGCTAGAACTATAGAGAGTGTGTCTAGTGAGTTTCTTATTAGCATAGGATTACACCAAGGATTTGCATTAAGTCCATTTTCCCATTGATAATGGAAGAACCTACTAGTCACTTACATGATTGACCTCTATGGTGTATGTTATTTACTAATGATATTATCTTAATTAATGAGAGCCTAAGTGAAATTAATTATAAATTTGAACAATGGAGGCAAGCCTTAGAAACTAAAGGTTTTAAATTAAGTAGGACTAAAACTAAATATATAAAATATAATATTAGTGATTTTAGAAATAGACAAGAGAATATAGTTAAACTGGATGGATAAGAAGTCTCCGTAAATAAAAGTTTTATATATTTTGGATCAATTATTCAACACAATTGAGAGATCGATGAAGATATTATCATAGAGTAAGCATAAGATGGTTAAAATGACGAGAGGCGTGAGGAGTCTTGTGTGATCATCGGATACTTTTGAGATTAAAAGAAAAATTTTATAAGGCAGTTATGAGACCAACAATGCATTATGAATCTGAGTGTTGGGTAACTAAGAAAAAACATATACAAAAAATTTGTATTGCCGAGATAAAAATATTGAGATGAATGTATCGAGTTACTAAGAAAGATAATAAAGGAAATACTTTTATTTGTGAACAACTATGAATCATTTTGACGGAGGATTAAATGAGAGAATTATTTAAGATGGTATGGGCATGTACTGAGAAGACCTCCGGATATGGTAGCCAGAAGAAGTAAAATAATTAATGATAGTGGTGCGAGAAGAGGTAGAGAAAGATCTAAAAAGACTTTAATAGAAACTATAAATAAAGATTTAAGTATTCTGAACTTCACTAAAGATATGATTTTTTATAAATCTCAATAGCGACAAAAGATCCATATAGTCGACCCCAAATAGTTAGGAACATATGGTTTTATTATTGTTTTTGTTTGGTACAAGAAATAAAAAAATCTTGCTTCTTATTCAGTATTCTGGTATTAAAAAAGTTAAATTAATAACGTGTTGCATACAAATGACAGAAAAGCAAGGATGTCTATAACTCTGTATTGTCAACACCAATCATCAAGGATATATGGTGTTTGAATTTTGATGTTGCAAATGAATACATGGATAACCTACAGGTGTTACCAAAATATGCCTGTTAGACATGAATATTCAAGATTATCTGATATGTTGAGGATGGTCCCATTTGCAGTTTTATGATTTGCTTTTTGTCTGAACTTTTTGTAGTTTGGAGAAGATGGGAATATTTGTAATAAGTTTTAAATGGTTTAATTTCTAATACTCTTTTAGATGCATCTGGGGTGCCTAAGGTTTCAAGTTATGAATACTAGAATATGTTAGCCATCCTTGCACTGCCTTGCTCTGGTACCAGCTTGTTACTGTGCTTAGTGGACACAATCAAGCTTTTCTGCATTTCTGACATAAAATAATCTAGAAGATATCTTTGTGAAAAAATTGTAGCATTTACATGTAAGATGATCTTAATGTTTTTAGATGTGGTTCATATACCATATCTCTTTATAAATATGCAGTCATCTGCAGAATATAAATATGCAATCATCTGCATTCTGAGAAGGAGACCCAAGGGTTGTTGGAACTTGGAATATTAGATATTTCAGGTGTTTCATTCACCTTTTTTGTTTTTCTGTTATTGGAGTATTGAGGAAAATGAAGTAGCATTTAACTGAATGAAGAACTGAGCAATAGAGCAAGTTTCTTATTAATTTGCAAGTTCCTAGTTAGGGGATTTTAGTGCCATGAGCAAGTATCTTGAGGAAGTTACTGTTCTTTCTGACTAAAGTCTAGCTAGATATTATTCTCACAGATGTACTTTCCCCTTTATGATAACACTCCTAATACTATATAATTATTTTTAAATGAAGGAGGATGAGCTGGGCTGCAAGCAGTATGGCAGATGGCAACAGATCAAACGCATCTGAAAGCGGCACAAATCCAACAACCCGTTTGGTCAGAACCATTCAATCTTTCCAAACAAAGTTGAATACTCGGATCAAGCAGTTGAAGAAGGGCCTGTCGGTTAAAGTTTTCTTCTTCTTGGTGGGATTCTATTGTGCTACAGCATTTGCCACTGTCATTGGACAAACTGGCGACTGGGACATTCTTTCTGCAGGCTTGGCCGTTGTTGTAGTTGAGGGGATTGGTGCCCTCATGTACAGGGCTTCTCTTCCTTATGCCAACAAAATAAGGAATCTAGTTACTGTCTTTAATTACTGGAAGGCAGGGCTTTCCTTGGGCTTGTTCTTGGATGCATTTAAATATGAAATTGATTCGTTCTTCGAGTCATGTAAACCAATGAATATTGAAATAGATATATTTCCTCCATTTTGGTAAATGCATTATTTTAGTGCATGCATTTGTACATTTGAGGAGTCACTTAGAATTATATTTTTTATAAAAAATTACTAGACGATTGTGTCTAGAGAAGGGAAAGGATTTTGGTGCTTTGTTGTGTGATAGTTGCATTTGACCATTTCTTCTATCTCAGATCTTCACATAGGAGTATTATCAGTAGGTAAGGGCCAATAGTTATCTTGCCTAAGGTTGAATTTTTGATTAATTCTCTCTCAAACTAATTGCAGTTATTTCTGGAGAAGCCCTCAGGCCCAACTGAATTTTAGTTTCCCTTCAGCATCGATGAGGTGTGATGGAGTCCAAAGTTTCCAATCCTCAATGCAGATGGAAAACAAGTCCTACGACTCATAGTAAGCAATCTTACTCTGAGGTGTATGAGTGTATCATGTCCAGTCCCAGCAAGCAAAATACTTTCACTGGTCATACTTTGTGGAGCTTGTACATAACATTGCAATCATGATGTATCCTCTGGAAAATTCTTTTGAAAGTTTTAATTGTTTTTTCCTGGGCTTTTGGTTGTGTTTTTGTTGGTGAAACTACTTCGTGGTAGGCATTCTTTGTTGTCTGTTGTAACTTCTGGTTCAGTTGCTTGTCCATGATCAAGTACAACAGCAGCCGAGCAATCCTGTTCAAAGAGCAGAGAAAAGAAGTTCAGAAATATTTGGGATGTCCTCTTTCTTGCATATATACTTGGAACATTTGGACAAGAGCTTGGTGCTGGATTTCTTGATTCCAAACAGTTCTCAATTCCTTGCATGGAGATGGCTCTGAGGATCTTTAAAGGCTGATCCTACTGGACAGTCTTAGCATTATTTTGGGATATCTGAAGCACTTGTATCATTCTAATCTACAGAGATCTTTTGTTTCTTGTTGTGAGGAATTTTGTTTAAAGTGATGTATGAATCTTTTGTACATTATTTTTATAATAGATCACTACTAACCCTCAGTCTGTTGTCTCAGAATGAAAATTGTCTTCAGCAGGGATCAGAAAATGCATCATGGAAGAGAATGTTATAAGATGATTTGGATGAGAAGAATGCCATCAGAGTTCCCACCTCCATGATAGGCTGTCCTCGTTACTATTCAAAGCTGGGGCAAGGTGCTAAGCATTTTTTGACATCACATCTCCATCAGGTACAAGGTTGATCCTGTTAGTAATATCCCCAGTTTCAGTAGAGTAACTGAACATAACAGAAAATCTGGATGCTAAGCTTTCTCATTTCTTTTTAGTTTTGCCTGTGGATTTAGTAGATATAAACTTTCAAAAACACTTTTCGAATCTGGCACCCTTCAACTTTATCATTTATTAGTTGTGAAACATTGAAACTTCCATACATGATCCACCATAGAGTCTTGCATATCAGAACATCTACACAGAATCAAGATAGTACCAAAGAAGTACCGATCGTAGTTTCTTAGTTTTACATTTTAGTACTACCTGTCACTGGAAACTGTCATCATATAATACTTCTCGCAACTGTGGAGAAGTTGTGAAAACATTTAAGAAAATTGCTTCTGACTATTGGTTAATACTGATGATGAGCAGTGGTTGTATCTTGGTCCTTCCTCACACCCCTCACAAATTATTTCTCCTGTTCTGTCTCTGTAACAGCTGATACCCTTCACTTGATCTTGGTCATATTCCTCACAACTAATCTTTGTGATCGATTCTGGTGAAGGATAACTATATCTTGGTCTTTCTTTGTACCTCTCACAAATTCTTTCTCCGTTTCTTGATGATGAATGGTGACTATATCTTGGTCCTGCATCATATCCCTCGCATACTATTTCCCCTCTTTCATCTCTGTAACATATTATACCCATGACTTGTTCCTCATAAACCTGATAACAGTAACAGCTTGGAGTCACCAACTGGTATCTATCAAATGACTTTAGGCTTCTGAGCATGACAGGGAGAAATCCAAATGATAACATAAATTAAAATTTCAGAAAACAATGCCACAACCAGAAGTTTAACTCCAGAGCTATATAAAAGATCATACCTTGTTATTAACCATGCTGACTTTGCTCAATGGAACTGTTGGATTTGGTGGTTTTGGGTTATTGCTCCCTCTTGGAAAGATAGCACCAGGATAAGAACATCTGACCGGCATAGCCATAGAACCTCTTCTCTCTCTATTTTTTGTGGTGTATTTCTACTGAGGAATTAAGGGCAGAGAGGTAAAGGATATTTGAAGGCAAGCTACGTTCTGGTTTAGTTGAATGGCTTGTTTGATTGGCCATCTTTGTCAAGAGATGATGTCAAAACATGTCTGTGGATGGATAAACGAAGTGTAGGCATATTGAAATGCGTGGTTTTTGCATTTACAAATCACATAGTGGTGTCATGTTGTGTTGTATATATTTGTCTGTATGATAGTCATCCAATAAAAGATTGGAGAACAGTTTGACTTTTATGTCACCAAATCAGCTAATTTAGATTTCTTTCTTGTTGTTTATCATAATTAATCATGTAGTTCTGTTGAGGTTTGTGACTATACCCTTTCTTACCTTTTTTTTTATATGTTTAATGTGATAATTCATGGTTGTGTGGGAGATCTATTCTTTCATATATTAGATTTTGTTATCCACCTGCTATCATATTCCGAATCTCCTTTCTACTTGTCTAAATAGGAGCCACAGGAGAACATATAAATCCAATGCCTTTTGTAGACTGAAGAAGTTATTGTTTACTGAATCTAAAGCAGTACCCCTCCTTTTCTTAGAACTTAACCCACCACCTTCAAAGGTTGTACAGTTGACTTCTTTGAAAGAAATTTGTACTGTCAACTGGTACAGCACTATTTGCAGTCTGTGATTCATCTAAAAGCAGAGATTATTGTTATTATCTAATTTCAAGTAATGCTCTCTACTATGTGGTATTCATGTCCAGTTGACCTAAAACTTGAGGTTGGCAACACCAGCCTTGCACATTCCATGTGGACACTTGCATGAGGCTGTGAATTCTTGTGCTGGCAAAAAAACCAATGAGTTTAATGGCACTATTTGCATCTTCTTTTTTATAAGTTTAATTTACTCTTTTCTTAACTCCTTTTCTTTTATCTGTAGCAATTTTTTCTTCATTATCTTACTGAAATATGACTCAGAAGCTTAAACTGTTCATTTTTATTGTATTGATTTAAAATGAATGAGAGGACAAAAAGAGTGTTTTTTTTCACTGGAAGGATATTATTTGTAAATCTGATACACAAACACAAGGACTTCTTACAAGAATACTGAGGGAAAAATGAAAAAGGACTGCAAACATCCTGTAAACTTTATAGTTGATTTTTCTTGTTTTTCATGTGGAATGATGAATGATTGCATCATCTCTATGATACCATAATGGCTTAATATATAAGATGGAATTGAAAGCCCAACACAGCACAGACTGCCATCTACTTACAGGCTTTTATTAGCCCAAATATTCCTCATCAATCTTTGCTTGGAAACCATATCTTTCACCTACTTGCAAAGAAAGATGCAAACATTATGATTTTAATGCTGAGGTAAGACTCCTACAAGGATCAGTATTAGATTCTGACATTTAAAAGATGTTAAATGACTGGGTAGGAACATTAGAACTTGTTAAAAATTTTAAATTAAGATCATATATCATCTACAGATTTAAGCATTTAGATCCAATGACAGTCATAAGAAATCTAACATGTTAAGGTGAATAGGTTGGGTTGGGTTGGGTCATTTGCCATCCATGCTCAAGGGAGTGTTAAGAATATAAATCAAGATCATATCGTATCTATGAGATTAATCTCTTAGATACAATGATACTGATAGAAAAAGCTAAAGAAGACTGTATTTAAAGCCAGCCATATGGCAATCTCTTCTGCTCTATGCAACAACTCAATGTTGTAACGCCGATGTAGACAACTAAAGCATTACTTGAGATCCAACTCCAACTGCTAGGGAAAGAGAAGACTCCTCTGATCTCTCTAATCCTTGAAGGTGTTCTTGTTCGTGCCCTTGAGGAACCGGGCTCGGAGTTCGGCCACGTCGACGTCGCCGACCCGGTTCTCCGGCATCCAGTTCCCGGTCTTTGGGTCCCTCATCCAAAAGACCTCCTCCTCCCTCGTCGCTGCACGCGACTCACCTTCCGCCGCCGGCACACGTGATACCGCTGCTGCCACCGTGGCATGTGACCGCCGGCTGAGGAATACAAAGAAGAGCAGGAACATGAAGCGTGAGTTCTGTTGGAGGAGTCGGGGTGGTCATGGAGTGCGTTAACCGGAGATGTGAAGCTGGAGGTCTCACCTGAGAAGAAGGATGGCGTTCGTGGGAACACGAGACATTGCGAGAGGGTGGCGCTGAGACTTGAGACGGAGGTGTTTAAGGTGGTGGTGTTTTAAGTAGAGAGGATGGAAGTGGAGAGAAGGAGATCAGTGGCGTTGCCGGCCTTTGTTTGGTTTGCATGTTATTATAAGGAATAATCTTTTCCTTATCTCCTCTTATCCAAACTTAATTGTTTTCTGTTCTACATCTTTTATTTTGGGATGAGATATGCTCGATTCTTTTCCAATCCTGTGATCATATCCATTGCATTTCTTTTGTTTGGGACTCTTCCATTTTATTTCAGCTATATATATATACATATATATATATACATATATATATACATACATATGTATTTCTTTTGTGATGAGATATGCTCGATTGTTTTCCAACCCTGTGATCATATCCATTGCATTTCTTTTGTTTGGGACTCTTCCATTTTATTTCAACTATATATATATATATATATATATATATATATATATATATATATATATATATATATATATATATATATATATATAT